CTGATGCTACCGATTGGTCCAGTGGTTTTACAGCCTCTAAAAATCTGTTGGAGGGTCAGCTATGAGTCGGTTCGGACTTGACAGGACACAATAACAACAACCGTTTGTCTCTATTAGGGAGTCTTACCTGGTGCTCCCAACATCTAGCTACACAGCCAAGTTAATGAGTGCGCTTGAGGACAGCTGCAACTCTGTAGGAAATCTTTCAGTGGCACAAATTGTTAAGTCCCTGGCTGCCACCTGAGGGATCACCAGCTCTGTCCCTTCTAGGATGCCTTGGAAAAGTCGAGTGCCCAGCTTCCCAAAAGTCGCACCCTCTGAACACTTTTACACTGCATGCATAGCGCTACCCTAAGTTGGATTCTACTCTATGCAGCTAACAACAGCTACTCTCGAGTTACGTAATCAAAGATTCTATAATGGGAACTTTGACACTTTCTCCTTTAAGAGAATAGATCTTGGGAGGTTATAAATTAGCCATCTTGTGTACAGAGCATTTCCAATACAGATGGCTAGACTTTGCCAGACTATTTAATCAGCTAGAAATATTTAATCTTGAAATGCTTCATCTCCTTGGCTTGCCATTTTATCATTAAGGGAGTAAAATGGCATTTGGAATCTCTGTGGTGATTATTTCTGAGAAATGTAAGTCATTTATATGTTGATGTCAGATGCAAATGAAAATATTTTATATTTAAGTGTATTTTTAAAATGTCTTGGAGAGCATTGTTTTTTTTTGGCCAGAATCCACTTCTGTTTACTTTTAATATGGCTGAAGGGGTGGCAGTGGTGAATCTAGTCATTTTGTAACTTGGAAAGAACTTCCTTGAAGAAATTATGTGTGTGCTAACTTCTTTGAAAGATAATGTCTATTGATAAAAACACCTTTTTTTTTGTTATCTACAAAAGAGAAGTGAGTGTTTATCTGTAATAAACAAATAGCTTTTACCAGGAAAATAAAAAAAAAAATGCAATCTAGTTAAACGTGGTGAAGGAAAATTAGTAGGCAGTCTGCCAAGGAAGAAATATATAAATAGCTAATCTACTTGGGAAAAAGATGTTCAACATCACTAGTATTGATAAAAATTACAAATAAAATCATGTAAACACTACAAGATTCCTATAAGTACCCTGTGGACCACAGCTATAGCTGGCTGCTTGCTTGGCACAAAATGGGCACCATCGTTTGCTGGACTTAAGAGTCTTACACAGTGATCTATTGTGCAAGTCTGTATTCTCCCAAAGTAAGTGTTAGAATCGTAAGCCCTGTAACAACTGTTCCTGGAGAAAGTGAAACCACAATGTTCCTGGGAAGCACGGATGGGTGAAACTCTGTCTTACTTACTTTGGACATGTTGTTAGGAGGGGCTAGTCCTTGGAGAAGGACATCATGCTTTGAAAAAGCATGTGGAGTGTCAAAGAAAGATTCTCAACAGGATGGGTCAACACAGTGACATATAGTGATGGTCTCGAGTGTATTTGAGATGGTAAAGATGGCACAGGAGAGGGCAGGGCTCAGGCCCTTTGTTTATAGGGTCACTTTCAGTTCATAGTCGTCTGGACGGCACATAGCAACAGCAACAACAAGGTAATAAAACAGGGAGTAAACAGTTTTTGTTCATGGGATTAAAAAAAAGATTACATATTGACAAAATTCAGCCTTGCCTGGGTAGGCAAGGAGAAATAGACCTTCTCATATACTGGTAATGAAAGTGAGAGTTATCAGTTTTACCTCTATGAAAATATGAAATGAAAAAAAGAAAAGAAAAGAAAAAAGAAGACGACCCTCAGAATTGCTTCAGCAACATTAAAAAAATAAAATCACAAGAGTCCACAATTAAGGTTGCCTAGAGGAATGTACTTGGGGCGGTCGGAGGGG